TTTTTTTTTTTTTTTAAGATTTTATTTATTCATGAAAGATACAGAGATAGAAGCAGGCTCAATCCAGGGAGCCCGATGTGGGACTCAATCCTGGGACTCCAGGATCACACTCTGGGCTGAAGGCAGACACCTAACCGCTGAGCCACCCAGCATCCCTAAAAGCTTCATTAAGGGGTGTCTGGGTGGCTCAGTTGGTTAAGTGTCTGTCTCTTGATCTCAGCTCAGGTCTTGATCTCAGGGTTCTGAGTTCAAGCCCTGCACTGGGCTCCACACTGAGCATGGAGCCTACTTAAATAAATATACAAATAAAATAAAAAGCTTCATTTTAAACTAAATGCAATTTATTGCCTAACTTATCTTTGTTAAATGAACTGGGGAAAAATGGATATTTAGCAAAAGCATTTAAACTATGTTCTTGTGAAAACATTTAGGGTTTTATAGGGATTTAATATTTGTAAAGCACCAAAAAAGGATTGGTATATAATAAAACTGCAAATATGTGTTTGCTAAGTAAAAATAAATTTGGGAATACTATATATATGAAATCAAAAGCCTTGACATGTTTTTCAAAAATATACAGGCTAAGTCTTTTCTCATAACTTCTGAATAGAACTTGACATTCTAAGAATTTAACAAAGTGCCTTCCTCAGTTTTAAAAAGAACTGTTCTATGATTGTCATGCACATCCTGTGCATTTATGAGTATATTTTCTAGAAATTGGTCACCAAATGTTGCGCTTCGATTTTAGCTGACATCACAAACTTGAATTTCTGAAAATACCTAGACATAGAAATCAACCTAGCAGCGAAGAAGCTATGTTTTTTTTTTTTTGCACCAAGTCAGTCATTCTCAATTATGAAGAAAACTAAGTAAACTATGTATATTCAATTAGATTATATCTCATGCTCTGATACTTTCAGGTTTATCTCTCATACATCATCTGACTCCTGACACCAAGACAGATGCTCAGTACCATTCATATATCTGGGACTAAGTATAGTATTATGCTCTAACAACAGATTTAAACAGGAAACAGTTCTTATTCCCCAAATTTCTGTTTTAAATCTTTAAACTGCAGGCAACCAACCACATTGTTTTTTATTTTTTATTTATCTCTTTAAAAATATTTTATTTATTTATGCATGAGAGACAGAGATAGGTAGAGAGATAGAGAGAGAGAGAGAGAGAGGCAGAGACACAGGCAGAAGGAGAAGGCAGCCCCATGCAGGAAGCCCACCACATTGTTTTTTAATTCCATGGTTTAACATATAATAAAAGATTAATAAAGAAACCTAATTATTTTATTCAGAAAATACCCTTCTTTTCCCCATCAATCCAGTTACTTTCTTTTTTATTAAAAGATTTTATTCATTTATTCATGAGAGACAGAGCGAGAGGCAAGACACACAGGCAGCGGGAGGAGAAGCAGGCTACATGCAGGAGATCCTGGGACTCCAGGATCACGCCCTGAGCCGAAGGCAGATGCTCAACCACTGAGCCACCCAGGCTCCCCAAGCCAGTTATTTTCTAAAACTTTGCCAAAAACTCACCTTCTCAGAAGCCTCTTAATCACATTCATCTACTCATATTATCTTTCCTTATAACTGGTCAGCACTTCTTCCCACTCTGATAAATAGATGGATCTAACATGCAGTTTACTTTTCGGGATCTATTATCTTAAGTATTTACTTTTACTCGACAATTGAATGCATTTGGCAAAAAAATTCACTTTGGCATTCTATTGATAAAAAACAATGATCTCAGAGCAATTGGGTGGCTCAGGGTGTGATCCCACTGTCCTGGGATTGAGTCCCACATCATGCTCCCTGCATGGAGCCTGCTTCTACCTCTGCCTACATCTCTGCCCTCTCTCTGTGTCTCTCATGAATAAGTAAAATCTTTAAAAACAAAACAAAACAAAAAACAATGATCTCTAAAATAAAGTATGTTTATAGTTATTTTCCTTCTTTTGGTTCCTTGCTTTTATTAAAGAGTGTATTAGAGACTCTTCAGGGCGCCCAGGTGGCCCAGCGGTTTAGCGCTTCCCCTTTGGCCCAGGGCGTGATCCCGGAGTCTCAGGATCGAGTCCCACGTGGAGCTCCCTGCATGGAGCCTGCTTCTCCCTCTGCCTTTGTCTCTGCCTCTGTGTGTGTGTGTGTGTGTGTGCATGTCTCATGAATGGATGAATGCATACATAAACACATAAATGAATGAATGAATGCATAAAATAGTAATAATATTGGGACTCTTCAAATGAATAAAGGAGAAGCCATAGCATATAAATATCATGATATGACTCATGTACTAATAGCTTTAACAGATTAAAAAACAGAGCATTCCATTTCGCTAACACAACATCCTAAGGGAAAAGACTGAATATTTAAAGAGCTCACCATCAAAGGACAAAATGTTGTTTCAAAGAATTCTGAAAGCTTGAAAGTAACAAGGAATAGGATTGGTATAATGTCCCTATAATTAGATTGATTAGAGTCTGAAGATCATGAAAACGAAAGGGAAATTTTTGTCACTCCCAAGAATTAAGAATAGATCCCACAGAACTCTTCCGTAACAGATGGTGCTGGCCTAAAACGATACTCATATTTTATTCTCATGTAAATTTAGAATGCACTAACAAACACACACATACTACATATATTCCCTTTACCTAAAGCAACTATCAAAATAAAGATAGGGAGATAAATGCTTAAACTAACAGTACCAACATACCAACAGTCAAAACCATTTCCCATAACTTCTCTAATATCTGAGAATTTAGATGTGGAAGAGATATTAGATAGTACCAGCCAACTTTATTATTTGACGGGAAGGTAAGGAAGACCTAACAAGGATAAATGACTTGCTCAAGATCAAAAAGAGCCAAAACTAGAACCCAGATGACTAGATTCAAAGTCCAGAGTTCTCTCTGCATCATAGCACTCCATGTCTAACCAAGGTTGAGAAATGTGGTTTTCTTTACATACCAAATCAATTATAAGCGTCATTCAAAATAAAGCATGTGTTGTTTTTCTAGCAGCATTGATCTTTCATAGGCTTTGTTAGGACCAATGGAATGTCTCCGATTGGACAAAGGAAAAGCTAATTGAGCAGTACCAGATCCCCAACCTATCTCATCTACCACCTAATTAATTTCTTTGGAGAGATCATGCTTACTAAAGAGAAATCCTGTAATAAGGGAAGAGGTAATGCAGTTTTCTAGTTTGTCAGTTTCAACTTGTAAGTCCTCAACACCTGTTAACAGATTAGGCACCAAACATCCTATGTATGCATATCTAAGTAAGTAAATACACCATTTTAATGCTATCTTATAAAAAGTAAAAACATAATTTTAAAGGCATATATATAATTTCTAATGTTGTCTGAACTAGTTTTATTGGGGGGGGCGGATAAACAAACATATGGTCTCCTGGCCCTGTTTTTTTTTTTTTTTAAGATTTTATTTATTTATTCATAGACACAGAGTGAGAGAGGCAGAGACACGGGCAGAGGGAGAAGCAGGCTCCGTGCAGGGAGCCCGATGTGGGACTCGATCCTGAGTCTCCAGGATCACACCCCAGTCTGCAGGCGGCGCCAAACCGCTGCGCTACAGGGGCTGCCCTGGCCCTGTTTTTTTAAAGTATAAATCCACTTACCAATGGCCTGAACATACCAATAGGCAAGAGGAAAGCCAACCTACAACATAGTATGTCCAAGGACTTTTCTTTTTCTTTTAATAAATTTATTTTTTATTGGTGTTCAATTTGCCAACATACAGAGTAACACCCAGTGCTCATCCCGTCAAGTGCCCACCTCAGTGCCCGACACCCAATCACCCCCACCCCCCACTCTCCTCCCCTTCCACTACCCCTAGTTCGTTTCCCAGAGGTAGGAGTCTCTCGTGTTCTGTCTCCCTTTCTGATATTTCCCACTTATTTTTTCTCCTTTCTCCTTCATTCCCTTTCACTATTATTTATATTCCCCAAATGAATGAGACCATATAATGTTTGTCCTTCTCCGACTGACTTATTTCACTCAGCATTAATACCCTCCAGTTCCATCCACATTTAAGCAAATGGCGGGTATTTGTCGATTCTAATGGCTGAGTAATATTCCATTGTATGCATAAACCACATCTTTTTTATCCATTCATCTTTCGATGGACACCGAGGCTCCTTCCACAGTTTGGCTATCGTGGACATTGCTGCTATACACATCGGGGTGCAGGTGTCCTGGTGTTTCACTCCATCTGTATCTTTGGGGTAAATCCCCAGCAGTGCAACTGCTGGGTCGTATGGCAGATCTATTTTTAACTCTTTGAGGAACCTCCACACAGTTTTCCAGAGTGGCTGCACTAGTTCACATTCCCACCAACAGTGTAAGAGGGTTCCCTTTTCTCCGCATCCTCTCCAACATTTGTGGTTTCCTGCCTTGTTAATTTTCCCCATTCCCACTGGTGTGAGGTGGTATCTCATTGTGGTTTTGATTTGTATTTCCCTGATGGCAAGTGATGCAGAGCATTTTCTCATGTGCTTGTTGGCCATGCCAAGGACTTTTCTTAATGGGCGAGTCTCTTTTAAAATGTTACACAAGGGATCCCTGGGTGGCGCAGCGGTTTAGCGCCTGCCTTTGGCCCAGGGCGCGATCCTGGAGACCCAGGATCGAGTCCCACGTCGGGCTCTCGGTGCGTGGAGCCTGCTTCTCCCCTCTGCCTGTGTCTCTGCCTCTCTCTCTCTCACTGTGTGCCTATCATAAATAAATAAAAAATTAAAAAAAAAATAAAATGTTACACAAATGGGGCAGCCCGGGTGGCGCAGCAGTTTAGCGCCGCCTGCAGCCCAGGGCGTGATCCTGGAGACCCGGGATCGAGTCCCACATCGGGCTCCCTGCATGGTGCCTGCTTCTCCCTCTGCCTGTGTCTCTGCCTCTCTCTCTCTAGCTGTGTCTCTATGAATAAATAAAATCTTAAAAAAAATAAAAATAAAAAAATAAAATGTTACACAAATGTGCTCACTTTGGCAGCATACTTACTAAAGTTGGATCGATACAGAGATTAGCATGGCCCTCACAAAGGGATGACATGCAAATTCACGAAGCATTCCATATTAAAAAAAAAGTTACAGAAACATACAGTTAAACCCCACAAATGCACAGAAAGTAAGCCCCAACTTTGCTTGGAAGGCTGAAATTACAATTGGAACTAAGAATATTGTCACGTAACAGGAGCCCACTGTACCTTCTAAGAAATATATGAAATTTTCAGATGGTTCATTCTACTGAGTTGGGGGAATGGTTTTATCTTGAATTACATTCTTTGCAATGCAAGAACCTTTACTTCTATTAATTTATGGGTAGTTCAAGGGATAGAAGTACATACAAGTCAAGGATGCCCATCCTCCCAACTATTTAACCTTGTTTTGAAAGTGTTAGCCAGCATAATCAGACAGAACAAAACAATCAGAAGTGTTAAGAACCAGAAAGGAAGAAGTAAAACCATCTCTAATTGCAGATGATATGATAGTGTGACTGAAAATACAAGAAAATCAGTCCTCAAATTGCATAAAAATCAATATGGTAATAAGACATAAAATATAAGGGCAGCCTGGGTGGCTGAGCAGTTTGGTGCCTTCAGTCCAGGGCCTGATCCTGGGATCAAGTCCCACGTCGGCTCCCTGCATGGAGCCTGCTTCTCCCTCTGCCTCTCTCTGTATCTCTCATGAATAAATAAAATCTTAAAAAAAAAAGAAGATATAAAATGTAAGCCTTATATACATAAAATATCCAGCTAGAAGATATAATAGAAAAGATCCCATGTATAACAGTAACAGAAAATATACAATACGTGGAATGCAACACCTATTATTAGGATATATTTTTTAAACTCCTAAAAGTCCCACAAGTAGACAAGACTTTAACAAGATTAAGATAACTCTTGTACTTGGACATTAACATTATAAAGATGTTAATTCTTTCCAAGTGAATATCTACATTTAACATGTTTCCAATGAAAATAATTTTTAAAAAAATTTTATTTATTCACTCACGAGAGACACACAGAGAGAGAGAGAGAGAGAGAGAGAGAGAGAGAGAGACACAGGCAGAGGGAGAAGCAGGCTCCATGCAGAGAGCCCGACGTGGGACTCGATCCCAGGTCTCCAGGATCATGCCCCGGGCTGAAGGCAGCGCTAAACTGCTGGGCCACCCAGGCTTCCTGAAAATAATTCTTAAAAAACTTTGAAGCTAGATGAGTTGATTTTTTTTAAATTTTATTTATTTATTTATTTATGATAGTCAGAGAGAGAGAGAGAGAGAGAGAGAGAGACAGGCAGAGGGAGAAGCAGGCTCCATGCAGTGAGCCTGATGTGGGACTCCATCCCAGGTCTCCAGGATTATGCCCTGGGCTGAAGGTGGCACTAAACTGCTGGGCCACCAGGGCTGCCCTAGTGGGGTAAGTTTTAAGGAACAAAAAACAAACTACAAAAAAATATCTTTAACTTCACTTAGCAGGTTAAAGTACTAAGAATTCATGTAGAATACTAATTACTATAATTCTATAACACTGGATATTTACTGTGGGATAAAGCAAATAAAAAGCTATTAAAATCAATAGGAACTGAACTTTTAAAAAAGTATTTATTTGAGGGATCCCTGAGTGGCGCAGCGGTTTGGCGCCTGCCTTTGGCCCAGGGCGCGATCCTGGAGACCCAGGATCGAATCCCACGTCGGGCTCCTGGTGCATGGAGCCTGCTTCTCCCTCTGCCTGTGTCTCTGCCTCTCTCTCTCTCTCTCTCTCTGTGTGTGTGACTATCATAAATAAATAAAAAAAATTAAAAAAAAATTTAAAAAAAAAAAAAGTATTTATTTGAGAAAGAGCATGAGGAGGAGAAGGAAGAGGGAGGAGAAGCAGACTCTCTGTTGAGGAGGGAGCCTGATGTGGGCTCCATCCCAAGACTCTGAGATCATGACCTGAGCCAAAGGTAAATGCTTAACCCACTGAGCCACCCAGGTGCCCCAGGAACTGAAATTTTTAATAAGAATGAAAAATGTATCAAATAAACCAAAAACCTTAGGTTAATTTTGAATTGTACACATCAATATGAACTCATAATTTAAAAAGTCTTTTACAGTTCTGTTGACTAAAAGGGCTTAGAAATAATGACAACCCAGCAGTAATAAGCATAGCTAGTTCCAGATTTTAGTTCTAAATACCACATCTGACTAAAAGCTCCTAGGGCATTTGGAGAAATGGCTAGTTTTATGAAGAGGGTTGGAAAAATTAAAAGCAAGCCTGGGACATGTGGTTGGGCTGAGAGAACAAGTGCTCATTAACTAATGAGATCACCTCAAAGACACAAAGGCGACAGTATGAAGGAGACAACTGCTCCATCAATTTTGGAGCATAAAAAATAATGACTAGAATTGACTTTAATGTATTGAATAAATAAAAATTCACGAATCTTAATACTTCTAAAAGGGGGGTATGGAAAAGAAAGGCTCTTTCTTACTGAAGAATGCCAGTGATGAAGAATGACATGTTTAAAACAATCATTCTTTTTTTTTTTTTTTAAATTTATGATAGTCACAGAGAGAGAGAGAGAGAGGCAGAGACACAGGCAGAGGGAGAAGCAGGCTCCATGCACCGGGAGCCCGATGTGGGATTCGATCCCGGGTCTCCAGGATTGCGCCCTGGGCCAAAGGCAGGCGCCAAACCGCTGCGCCACCCAGGGATCCCTAAAACAATCATTCTTGGGCAGCCCGGGTGGCTCAGCGATTTAGCACTGCTTTCAGCCCAGGTGTGATCCTGGAGACCTGGGATCGAGTCTCATGTCGGGCTCCCTACATGGAGCCTGCTTCTCCCTCTGCCTGTGTCTGTGCGCCTCTCTCTCTCTCTCTCTCTGTGTGTGTGTGTGTGTGCCTCTCATGAATAAATAAATAAAATCTTTAAAAATAAATAAATAAAATAAAACAATCATTGTTTACAACCCCATAATTGATTAGGGAAAGGATCAGCAATAGATATACTAAAACATCATGGGTAACAGGACATACAATACAAGCTGTCAGAGAATCACCATGTATACTGCTAATTACTAAGGAAAAATTACATTGTAGGTATCTAACACTCATTACTTGAATGAAATAGCCAGATTCAAGCTCTTGATGCACTGCAATATGAAGTATAAAAAACAAAGACACAGTATTCTTATCCAGAATGTTTAACTGAATCTAGTTTAACTTCAAATCTGAACTTATTTATAGAAAATATACAAAGGATAAAGGAAAAATTAAAGTGGCTTTAGACATGGCCAATTACCCACTAGAAGGCAAGACTTCCCAGTTGAGAACTAGTAGTCTACAACAAACGAGACAAAACGTGAACTGTGATCGGAACCTGATTTGAAAAAAGTTACAGAAGACATTTTGGAATAGCTGGATAAATCTGAAAAAGACTAAATAACAGATATCATTAAGAAACTACTTTTAATATTCTTAGGTATATAATAGCACCATAGAGATGTAGGAAAATGGTCTTATTAATGAAGGAAAGGCATACTGAAGTTTTTAGAAGTGTCATGATGTTTACAACTTTCAAATAGTTCAGATGTTAAAAGGGAAAGTGTGTTGGGGCACCTGGGTGGCTCAGAGGCTTAAGCATCTGACTCTTGGTTTTGGCTCAGGTCATGGCCTTAGGGTTGTGAGACTGAGCCCTGAGTGGGGCTTGGCCCTCAGCGTGGAGTCGGCTTGAGATTCTCTCCCTCGCCTTCTGCCCCTCTCCTGCTTGTGCACACGTTTTCTCTATCTCTAAAATAAATAAATAAATACATACATACATACATACTTAAGACAAACATGTAAATATAGAAAAATGCTAACTAAATCTACAAGGGGAGTACATGATGAAGTGTTTATTATACTATTTTGCGTCTGAACATTTTTACAATAATTTTTTTTGGGGAAAAAAACCCAAACACTGAGAAGCAGTTAAGATTTGAATACAATAGGGACACCTGGGTGCCTCAGTGGGTTAAGAGTCTGACTTTGCCTCAGGTCATGATCTCAGGGTTCTGGGATCTAGCCCCGCACAGGGCTCCACACTCAGTGGGGGAGTCTATTTCCTCCTGTCCTTCCCCCTCCCTCCACTTGTGCAGTCACTCTCTCTCTCAAATAAATACATTTTATTTTTATTTTTTTTAAATAAATATTTTTAAAAAGATCTGAATATAATAAGGCACTTCAGTTCTGACCTTGCTATCTCATCACTTCTAGATGCTCAACATTATGTTTATAAAATTGTTGAAGTCACCCATGTTTGATTATAATAAAGAATCAGAGAACCGTAAGCTTACGATACCAAGCACATAATTCAGAAGCTAAATCTGTGCTACTCAAACTCCCAGTTTCAGAGTTCTATTTATAAATGTATGGCACATGCCTAATCCTCTCTCTCTCTTTTTTTTTTTTTTTTTTTGCCTAATCCTCTCATATATTCTCATGCTCAGATTCTAGTGCCTATCCTTGAGCACTGAAGACAGCCTGGACCATCTACAACACAAAATACAACAATTGAAGGGAAAGCTAGAAAACTCAAAAGGTCAAAGCAAAAGCAACAAAGCATCTAACATTATTAAATTACTTAGCCATGCATGGGCTAGAGATTATTTTGAACAAGGAGTTAATAAATAGGCGCAGTGGTTCGGCGCCTGCCTTTGGCCCAGGGCACGATCCTGGAGACCCGGGATCGAATCCCACATCGGGTTCCCGGTGCATGGAGCCTGCTTCTCCCTCTGCCTGTGTCTCTGCCTCTCTCTCTCTCTCTCTCTGTGACTATCATAAATAAATAAAAATTTTAAAAAAGGAGTTAATAAATAAGCAACAGTATCTAAAAAGAACACTAAATAGGGACGCCTGGGTGGCTCAGTGGTTAAGCTTCTGCCTTCAGCCCAGCGTGTGATCCTGGAGTCTTGGGATTGAGTCCCACACTAGGCTCCCTGCATGGAGCCTGCTTCCCCCGCTGCCTGTGGCTCTGCCTCTCTCCGTCTCTCATGAATAAATAAATAAAACTTTTAAAAATAAAAAAAATAAAATAAAAAGAACACTAAATAATGAAAA